GGCATTTTAGCCCTAAACTTTAATTTTTAGTCTTAGCGCCAATTGTTTTAAAAAGTTTTTTAAAAAGTTTTAAAACAGCTAAAAAACTGTTTAAAACGTTTTTTTACCATCCCTAGTGCTAATTATGATCACTATCTTGTGCTCTGCGGATAAATTTAAACATTGTTGTTTTATTCTGCACATCATATTTAATATAAATTAACATTTTTTATCGAAATCATTGTTGATATTTACTATATTAGATATATGTTTAAAGAATATGACACAGGCGACGAACGAATTGTTGATTGTTAAAAATTTTATCTGATACTCGAAAACAGATTACGCATTTAATTGTAGGTGTAAAATAAAGTATTAAGCTAAATAACATCTTGTGCAAGCATTCCTGAAATATACAAATATAAACAAAAAAAAAGCGCAACGAATATTATCAAACATAGTAAGCATAGCTAGACCAGGCTAGATCTTATATTTCGGACCGAATAAACCTATTCTTTTAAGTGCTTAATTTAATAGTTTCGAATAAGCCCAATCCCAATATTGCTTCAAATTAAATTCTATACGTAAGATTACCTAATTGTTCGTAAAGTTCGGTTTTGCATTAAACATAATACAATGCATTTACTGCTAATATTTTTAAGGTTGTGATTTGCATCAATAATAATTTCTTAATTTGTCGGAAGTTTACTACAAAGATATTTTAAGTTTAGGTTACGAATAATTTAAATGATTAATATATTTTACTAGAACAAAAAAGGAAATTTTTTATGATAAATTTTTAATCGTCGGCCAATCATTCTAAGTTCACTTTAGTAAATTCCTATTCGTTCATTCAAATTTCTGTGAATTTAGGTTGATAGTCCTAATTTTATGCATATACATCATTAGCTTTCTTTATCGATCTTAATTTCCAATTGTAAACCAGCAGCTTGAGATCTCATGTAAAGCTTTTTAAAATTCAGCTTTAAACCAGAAATAGGATAAAAGTTTCAAAAGTCTAATGCAGCATTAAATTAAAATACTAATTTATTTCTCTTACAATAAAATGTAGCGTCTTAGTGCAGATTGAATTAAAATAGGATTGTGTACAATCTTATATGTAAATTTCAATAAATTAGATGTATAGAGTACCAGCTTTACAAAACGTTTGGCCAGTATTATTGCATCATTTAATTTAAATATATGATGTGAATCCGAATTGTAACTCCTAAACTACCGAAAATTTGGTCTCAGATAGGAATGGCTGAAGAATAAAAACTGCAATTAAAAAGAAGAAACGCTTAACAAGCCTAACTTTAAAATTTAAACTCAACTCAAAGTTTATGATGTTTGATCTTTTGTATCTTTAACCAATCAAAAAACAACCAATTATATAATATATTTAGAAGTACTCTTTATAGAGATTTTGAAAATAATAAAAAAACAATACCATATGGTATTACTTTCATGATAGCTTACGTATACTGAGATTAAATTTTTAACTCCTCTCCTTTTTGCAATCTTTTTTTTTTGAACTTAATTAGTAATTAAGGTTAATTTTATAATAAAGGAGTATATATTGATTTTAGTAGCTATTAGAGATTAAATAAGAACCACAAATCTTAGCATAAGCAAAATTAATGCTTATATTATAGTTAAAGGTTGAAAATATATATGTTGTGAGTGGAAACGGAATTAAGTGGATTCGGAATTTATATAAAAACACCATTTCGGGGTTAATTTTATCATATGTATGTCGTGCCTGAAGTTGACATTTGCCTGAAGTTGCACTTGACTGAAATTAACCCCTGAAATTATATCATCTTGCATGCATTAATTAGTAATTTTAGGTAATTTTAGGCAAGTGTAACTTCAGGCAAGTGTCAACTTCAGGCACGACATGTACATCCTAACCCTGATCCTAATTTAACTTGAAAATTATATTCCATTTCCATTTACGACATGTATGATAAAATTGCTTAAAATTTATTTTGTTAGAGCATAAAGATAATCTCCTAAAAAAACAATTTAGAAAAAAAATAAATAAATAAAAAAATAAAAATAAAAAAAGTAAAATAAAAAATAAAAATGCTGCATATTATATATGAACAAACCTTGAAAAATTTCAAAATAAAATTTATTTATTGTGAAAAAAAAACAATAGTAATTACGCCACCCAAAGTGTGTAGAGAAGGTACATATATACATAAAAGGATGCCTTAGATATAAAAAATTTATTTAACCCTTTAACCAAACCAAATCTGCTTAGCTTTTTGGAAATTATGTGGCCAGCCAAAAATAATAAATATAAAAATTCCAAGGCACGAACCAACAAAATCAACACTAGAAGGTTCTCTATCTATGCTTACATCTTTAAAAATTGCTGAAAAACTAGTTATACAAGCAAATAAATTGATAAGTGCAAATAAAAGAGAAAAGGTGACCATTCGAATAGCAGCAGCTTTTGTTACACTATAAGATTTACTTTTTTTAGAAAAAGGATCTCTAGAAAATTTGGGTCGCTGAATGCTGCTATCTTGAGTGATTACTTCAGTAGAGGAATTAGAATGAGAGGAACTAGACCTAAGTAGATCCATGTGTTTATATACTTCATAAGCGGCGCGGCCTATAAAAAATTAGAGAAATATTAGAATTTATAGAATGAATAGAATAAATTAGATTATCATTGTAAATTTATAAGTAATTACCGCTTAAAATTACACCTGGAATACTACAAAGTTGGTTAATTCCAGAAAAACTAAATAATCTAACCCAAGCAGGATCAGTTACGTCGCTAAATTACAGAGAATTTTTTTTAAAATATTAATAAACGAATTTTATAAATTATAATGACAAAAATACTGCTTTACGTATAAGTTTAATATTAAAAAACTAAAAATACCAATTCATGCGCCTTGGTTTAACAGTATGAAAACGAAGTGATAATCCAATAAGTATGCTTAACATAACGATTGGATATATAATCACAAAACATTGAAAAAATCTCTTTAATGAACTTGTAGTTGCTTGATGAAAAAGGACGAGTTGAGCATATGTTTGTATCGCAAAGCAAAATGCACATGCCATTTGGAACATGGCATTATACTGTAACTGTTTAATAATAAATTTTAAATAATAATAATTCAGTAAATTATATCGAGATCACAAGGGATTAATAAATTATAACCTGTGTTATATATGTACAAACGAAACTTGTTTTCACTAATACTCAATAAACTCAGGATATGATTTATTAATTAAACTGATCGATTTAGAATCAAAAGTTGTATGATTAAGACTTACGACCATCGCTTGAACAAAGCAGAAACTATAAGGAGCATTTTCTAATTCATTTTTCCATATCAAGCTGAGAAATATATTTAAAGAAAAGATTATTACGGAACATGCGTATAATGCGATCAAATAGTTTTTTTTAGATTTAAATAAAAACAGAGCAACGTATATTGAACATAATAGTGAAATAAAAAACAGGATATATAGAATGGTTACTGCAGACATTGTCATATTAATTGCTAACAAAGGAAATTTTTAAAGATTTTTTTAAAAAGAAAGGTAATGAAAGAACTTAGGTAGGTAATTGAATTAATTCGAGCAAAAAAGCTACAGAAAAAATTCGTTAAAAGCAGTTATTTAAATGATTTTTTTTTTCTTTTAAAGTTCAAACCAATAAAGCATACAGTTATCTTTTAAGTAATAACTATATTTCTATGGAAGAGTTTGGTCAATTGTTAAATTTAATCATTCCATTTTGAACTTAGTAAATGCTTAACATTTTAAAATTAATTAGCTAATTTCCGACGTTTTGGCCAGTGCTGGAGTGTCTGAACCAATACACTTTTGAAAGTAGATCTCAATGAATAGCCCAGGAAATTTTAATGGCAATCATGCGAGGCATATGATATCAAATCTAATTATTAATACAATTTTTTTTTTTTTTTCAAGAATTACAATTTTATCTAAGTGTATCATCGGCAGAATTTCCAGAAAGTGCCATAAATTTATTCGAAACTGATTATTATTTACCTCATTACCGGATAATCTTTCACAACGATGGAGTTATAGATGTCACTTAGGTTAAATGGTACACCTTAATTGTTAATAATGTACCGGTACGTACAGTACCTACCTACGTACGTTATATATTAATTAATTCGGAGGTAACGTATGACATACATATAACCCACGTGAAATATAATTGTAGAAATCCTGCATCATTAATTAGTATGTACAGTATGTACCTACGTACGTACGTAAGTATGTACCTACCTACGTACGTAAGTATGTACGTAAGTGCATATACAACTTTATCTTTTATGCGTATAAAATTTGAATAATAAAACTGTATGCAGGTGCGAATGGTTACGCCACGAAACACTTTATCTACAAACTAAAAATCCCATTGCAATCTCTGTTATTGGTGAATATTATCGATGAAATGATTGGAGGAATATTCTCACGCCTATGATGTGCTTACATAAGCACTAATTATGGTCATTATTCCGCGTCACGGATAAGATTTTAACCGTTTTATTCTATATAACATAAATTAATATTTCTTACCGACAGCATTTGTTGTGGCACAGTGTTAGTTACTATATTAGATATGACGTTGAGACAACATACCATATGTAAGGAATATTATGCAGGCACATGTAAATAATGTGATGATTAGGGAAAGTTTAGTCTCACGTGTTTGATGTGTTTATGCTTGAATTTGTTTAGGATTTAGTGGTTTTTGTTGGTTCATTTAATTGTCTGGTAATTGAAAATAGCAAGGTTATAATGAAGCACTCCAAACTATAATAAAACGTATAAACCACTCCAGTTTTAAGCTGGAGTAGTTTTGTTATAACTTGGTTGACAACCCTAGAAAATAGATTGGTTATTATAAAAATAAACTTTAGCGTAAAATACTGATCGTTGTCTAAGCTAAATAATAACATGTGCCAAGCATAGCCAGACCAGGGTTATATCTCGGACCGAGTGAACCGACAAATTGGTACTCTTTTTAAGCTTCTATTTTAATCGCATCGAATAAGCCCAAACCTTATTTACTCCAAATTAATTGTAATATTATATAATATCTCAGAGTTCGGCTTTGCGTTAAACATAATACCATGCATTTATTACTTGCATTTTTAAGATGTGATTTGAGCTACTATAATTTAATAGTTACAACCCCCTTAATTTGTCAGAGGTTATTAACATATATAAATCTAGGCTATGTATAATTTAGATAATTCAGGAATTAATTAACAAATTTTTACTAGACCACAAAAGGAAATTTTTTGACAAAATTTTAAAATCTGTTGGTAAAAAAAAAAAAATCGTCACTTCATTTTCCGTGGCCGTAATTTAAGTTGATCATTTTAATTTTTGCGCCCATAATAGCTTTCGTGATCGTTCTTAATTTCTCGAAATTACGTACGTATAAGAAGAGAATAAGTTCAGCTAAGTTCGGTTAGATAGAATGGCACAGAATTATGTACGCACGTACGTGCGTACTTTTACTTTCCATAATAAATAAGAATATAAGTCAGTTCTTTATAAATCGTGATCCAATTAATATTTGATATTTGATATTTGATAGTAACATATATTCGGTAAAATTTTATCACGTATCAATTGATTAAACCATATCATTTTTCAAAGTGTGTCTATATGGAGCTCAATAAATGTTGTTATAGCATAATTTATACATGTTTCTAAAAAATTAGAATCGGCAAAAAATATAATTATAATTCGATGCTTTAAAGTCAAATTATAGAAAAAAAAAATACTAGTTTTATATATTCATTTTTTTCTCTCGAATAAACCTCATATTTTGTATTATTTTATTATTAGCATAGAGATAGTAACGATAACAAATCTTTCAATTTTAATTAATTGAATGCCTACCAGAAATCGTATAATTATAGTACGTTTGTGGAATCAAACCCTCCTTAATACATATTATCTGCGTCAGATATCATAATCCTGCTAATACTTACCCTAACATAGCTTTCACTTGAAACTCGTAAATTTCAATTTGATGTCATAAAAGATCCGAGTACAATGAATGGTACAATATATCATTAAACGTGAACTTATAGTATGCCCTTATAACTGTTCTCCTACATTCATAGCACTTTTTAGTATGTAACCAAATATAAATAAATTCATCCAAAACTTTCTTTGCCTGGTTTTCATACAAATTTAAATACTGTATATCCAGATCAACGTGTGAATCCATGCGCATAAGTTTAAAATTTTTAATCTCCGATTAACAATTAGAATGCAAAATCCAATTAATAGAGAATGCTGTATAATAGTAGATAATAGTATTTCTTTGAATGCTAGTAAAGCGCTACCGCGTTTATTAGCATTATATCATTATGGTACCCTATCGGTATCGATCTAATTAGTCGAATTTGCTCACCTTCTGTGCTTAAAATCGATCAATCGATCAATCAATCAATCAACCAAATCTAGATATAGACAAGGTAATAGTATAAGTAATAATTGCTATTTTTTACGGGATCCCCAGTTATGATTGGACGCATGAAATCATGAAATCTCGTCTTCAATTGGATAAACTACCTTAGCACAGCCGCAATCAAAAAACAACGCTTTACGTTTAATTTTCTTCAATAAAAAAAAAATAATTAAGCCTATTTTTATTAAGTGAGAGTATTTTATTTATGTACTTTCAAGTTCTTTCTTCTAGCAAAAAAAAAAAAAAAAAATCAAAATAATCTAATCTAAACTATTAATGAAAATAAAAGTTTTATAAAATTTTGTTTGGTACTTTATTCTCAAGAGAATATTTTGCCGAGACCAATATTTACAAGCTTGTAATTTTAAAATATCCAACTTTGTTTCAAATCCTTAATTATATTCTGGACCGTGTATTTTACTTTATTTGAAAAAAAATTGACATGAACATTTGAAATGTTTCAAGTTCATTTTATTGATACTGATACAATACTGCAAATAAATAAAATGCTACTGCAAATTGCTAATTAATAGATTTGTTTTTAATAATATAACCCAAGTTCTCAACCCTCATTTTTGCCGAAAGAACATAATTAGTCAGCATTGTGTTCTTTAAGAATAGCTTCGGAAATCGTATAATAGCCCTGATACAATACTGCAATAGGTGCTAGTTTGTTAATTTAATACTAAAAATAATGTTGCTGCTAAGTTGCTAAATAATTATACACTTACAAAAATAAAAAAATTAATACTTATTTTATTTTCAGATTTTCGTATAGCAGTATGACTTAAAGTAGATATGTTTATTTCAATTAATAATTTTACACGATACAGTAAATTTTTACAGTAATGTTCGATAAAATTGGCGAAATTTATTTAATCTAAAAAAATAACTTGAAAAGTGATAATACTCAAAAAAGAAAAAATGTTAACAAAAAGAATTATTTAATGTAATTGCGAAAATAGTATTTGAGGAATATTTTATTCTTAATTGCGGCGCATTAGATGGCTAGATGAAATTTTTTAACCACCCTGATCAGTGATGTAATTGGTTTGTCTAATTGAAAACGAATATTTGTATTCGTCCAATGGGAAGTTTGGGAGAAATTAGTAAACCCTTTTTTTTACCCAAAACATATTATTACTAATTATTCAATATGACGAATGATTATTGCTTCATCACGAACTTCGAAGGCCCATATATTTACGTAATCTCACATAGATGACAATAATATTATGTAATTATCTGATATTTATGTAAGTGTAAAGTCATTTACAATTTATATAATTTTAGGCTTCTTTTTGTAGAATGCATAAATATTTGCAAGATATTATGTAAAATTCGTATATTTCTTACCTAATAATTTTATAAAAAAGGTTCGTGATGTTATCACGTTTTAAATTTTAATCTGGAAAGTAAACTCAATAATTTGCTGATCAGGTTAAGTTTTTGCTTGTATCAGGAATTCTTTAATTATTACGCAAAAAATTATAAGAAATAATAGTAATAGGGAGTTTCAAATTTATCAAATAAGTGGCACATTTTGTAATTAAATGAGAGTTTTGAAAAATCTTATTTGAAATGCGAGTGTTTGGAGATT